AAAAATATAACAAGTAAACAATTTACATATTATAGTAATCACCCCTCCATGTCATTTGAAAACACCAAATATGTGAAAATAACTCTCAAGTGGGATTTACCTTACCCACTTATAAGTTTATTATTAAATAGTGATGTCACGTGACGGTGATAATGTAATGTCACCGTTATTCCTAATATTTATAAACCTTAAGATTTATCGGCAGGGATGGTGTCCATTTGACCGACCACTAATGAGATTTTCAAGATTTGTAGTACTATTTATTGAAAGAGTACTACAAGTGATCATGTGGACTTCTCTGTCCATTACCATACCAACAAGACTAATTATTATGTTTTTTTGGGAAAGTAAATCCTTCAGTCATCTTTGTAAATATGCATGTTAGAGTCCATATCTGTTATAAAAAAACAGACAAAGACAACAAAATTAAAAAAAAAAAAAAAAAGGAAACCAAGCACCTGAGTTGCTAAAAGTTCTGTAATATGACAGAACTTAAAGCAGTTCCGGGCATTCATATATTCCTAGTGGACTGCTTGAAGCTGACAGTGAGAAGTTTATTGCTAATCACATCAAGAATGGACTTCAAAATAGTAAGTGGATCCTTGAATTCATTTATGAAGACCCTTGTATTTCTTTCTTTCCAAATCATATAGAGAGAGGTGGAAAGACTCAGCCTGAGCACAATGGTTTTAAGGGATTTTCCTTTTCATTGATTGGATGTTGAGAGAATTGCTGGTAACCAGGATGAATGGAACTAGTAGGTCAGAGAGTGACTAAGCACTTTATTCCATATTCCACCAGTGCAAAGGCAGTCAAAAAACAAATGGTTGATGTTTTCCTCTTTAAGTCTACAGAAAATACATGTTGTATTAATGTGTTGCATATAAGTCTTGATTTAATCCTTTTTCCAGGTATGGCAATACAAAGAACGAAAAACATCCTAGGGATGTATTAAGAATACCATATTAGCTTGTGTCAAGGAACCTTAGGACCAGAGATATAGAATGAATTCCAAGCTGAATGAGGTGAACAATGACCTCTAGGATTAAGAAGCCATTTAATTTTGTCCTTTTGTAGAGAATTGATTGAATAGGATGGCATTGAGTTGTGAATCTATAGAAGTTCAAGAGTGATTAGAGAAGACCATGCCCATGTGGTACCCTTAACAATGGTTTCCACCTTTGCATTAGATGGCAGATTTGCAAGATCAACGATTCTCTCAGACCATTTAAGCAAAAGAGGCTCATGAGGGGGCCAATTATCATGCCATAGATGCGTAGATTTACCATGTCCAATAGTGTGGAGGATTAATGGCCAAGCAGCTTGCCTGAGTTTCATAAGCTTTCTCCAATTCTAGGAACAGATCTGAGGTGGTCTAACTTCCCAAAAAGATTTCATCTTTAGGTAGTTTACTCTCATCCAGTTAGCCCAAAATTTTTCTTATCAGAGACAATGTACCTCAACATTTGAGCCTTGTTCCACCTATGAAGATCTTTTAGTCCAAGCCCCATCCTCTTTTGATTTGATAACAGTGTCCCAAGCCATCTTAGAGGCTCCTTTCATTAGCTCACTACCAGACCACAAGAAGGCCCTTAGCAATTGCTCAATTCTTTTCAGAACACTCTTGGGTTAAATCAGATGGCTTAATCAGTAGCTTTGCATAATGCAAAGAGCAGATGTCACAAGTTGTAGCCTACCAGTATAAAATAGAAATCTGTTAGTCCAACTTTTTATTCTAGCCTTTGTTTTATCCATCAGTATTGCACAATCCCTTGGCCTCAGCTTAGTTGGGATGAATGGGATGCCCAAGTACTTGACAGGAAGCTATCCCAACTGGAATCCAAAGCATGATATAATTTGGTCCCTTTGTGTCTCAGGGATCTCAGAAATAAAGATTTGGTTCTTAATAACATTTGCACTCAAACCATAAAGTGATTGGAATTTATCCAAAGATTTTTTCAACAAAGCAACCGAGGAGAGAGAACCATGACAGAAAAGGAAAAGATCATTTGCAAAGCACAAGTGTACAATTTTATGTCTCTTGCATCTTGAGTGATATTTAAAAGCATTTGAAGCAGCAATTTCAGCCTTAAGGATGTGAGCCAGAGCTTCCATGGTGAGAACAGAAAGATATGGGGAAAGTGGATCACCCTGTCTAATACCCATCTTGCTAGGAAATAAATCAATTTACTCCCCATTAAGGTTAATACTAAATCTAGGAGTAGATACGCAAGCTTGGATCCAAGTAATCATGTTAGTTGGGAAGTTGAATCTCCTTAGAGTTGATTTCACAAAATCCCATTTAACCATGTCAAAAGCTTTCATTAAATCAACCTTAATGGCACATCTGGGTGATCCTCTTAACAATCAATATAATAGAAAAAGGAGAGAAGATTGGATCGATGCTAGGTTACTTACACCTAATGGTTAGATCGAAATCCAATTTAAAATTTTCGATTTGAATTTAATTCGAATATCTATTAAATTTCAAGCTAGTTTCATATTTCAAATTTGAATCCACTATGCCCCTTGTGCGACACTACGATTGCCATGATCCTTAATGAGGTACCTCATTTCATTGAGGAGGCTCAACGTCTACAAATAATATCAATATATTTTCCCAATCTACAAGATCATTTGTGGTGACTATAAACAATGGGTAGAATTATATTTGGGCCAGTATTTGTTGTTTAATCTGGACTCGGCCCAGTCAACAGAAACGTTGCCAATCGGTGGCCCAGGTAGGAATGGACAAACATTGGACTGACACCTCTCTATAAGGCCGGAAAGAACGCTAAGATAACTCGTAACTGAAGACACAGTAAAATGTAAATTAATTGATTAATTTGAAAGAAAAATTCCTTTAATTTGTTTTAATTATAGATTCTTAAAAGAGATGTTCGTGACCGTTGAATGAGTCTATTGTCGGATAGACTTATTGAACCCTATTCTTTTTTATATTATAGATATTGTATGCTCATCAATATAGCAGTGTCATGTAGTGTACATCATTTATAAAATATTATACATTCTTAAATTGAGTTTTGCAGCTTCTGAAGTTGTCAAATTTTTTTTTTTAAAAAAAATAACTTTTAGATTTGACAAACGAATGTTGTGACAATTTTGTAAAACATCGCATGGCATAAGCATTGAATATGTTCTCCGGGAATTGGGTAATGTATAAGTGTCCACTAATAAGTGAACAAATAAATGAGTTGGTGACGGACTGTTCTAGTTTAACCAAGGTCTCGAGTTCGAGTCTTGGAAACGCAGCTGCGTTGGGTAGAAAAAACTTTGCCGCCCTTGTGATCTTACCTTGGCTCGAATCCGGATTAATCGGAGCCCAAAATAACTTTCGCATATCGGATGATCTGGCCAAAAAAAAAATACTATTACTCCATATAGGACAATGGGGCCTACTTTATCTGTTTTTCGATTTTTTTATTAGACGGTTACACTCCTTGATAATACCATCGCTACACCCAATATTTACCCGTAAAGGTGTGCTCCGAATAAAGCTCTCCTGAACTTTTCAATATTCCACAATCTGTAGCGTATGCTTTTTGTTGATAAAATTAATCTTTATCGACACAACTTGGACAAATACTATGTTGTTTTAACACAATCAACATATTCGATATGTTTTATTGTTCATCTTGCACGTACGTGTAAATTAATATTTAAAAATTAAAATATTTTATAATCTTAATTCTTTTTCAATTATGACTTAGGCTTTGCAAAATATAATAATTTAGAATATAAAATATCATAATTTTTGGCATAATATTCGATGTCGTATCGTATTCACTTTTTAAATATTAAATAACATTTGTCCTGAATTGTTAGTTGTCTTGGACATGATTATCTGTGTGATCAATTTTAAAGTGCAATCAGAGAAGATTGAGAGGAATATGTATCATAAGTGATAAATTCTTAGAAATTATATATAATTATGAATAATTATAGGTACTTAACATGAGTAAAGAGCTAGAGTATTATAGATAGATCGAAGGGTTAATTATACTAGAAGTCTTCAAAGTATAAAATTTGTTTTATTTTGGTCCTTAAAATATTGAATATGTTTCTATATGGTCCTTCAAGTAGACAACGTCCATATTGCTAACGATTTTTTATCATAAACTTGTCATGTAATAGTTAAATATGGAGAAAAAATAATTTTTGATAGCTCTTAAACAAAATTTGAGTAGTTCTTGATAAAAAAATGTGTAAAATGAATAGATTTTAACAAAAATTTGAATAGCTCATGATCAAAGCTGTATAATTTAGGTAGGTATTTAACCAAATTTTGAGTAAAAATTTGGTCAAGAGTTATCCAAATTATTTTTTTGTCCACATTTAAGTATCATATGATAAGTTTATGATAAAAAATCATTAGCAATCTAGACACTGTCTGTTTGAGAGACCATATAAAAACTTATTCAATACTTCATGGACCAAAATGATGAAATTGAAACATTGAGAACTAAAATAAGACAAACTTCATACTTTGGGGACTTCCTATGTAATTAACTCTAGATCGAACTTAATAGTTAATAATAATAGTATTTAGATTTAATTTATTACCATAATTTATTATAAATTATTAGATTAATAATAAATTTTGATAAATATTAGAGTCTACTTAGTAAATTATTTTAATAAAGTATTTTTTTATTTTATTCCCTGAAATATTTTAATATTTTTATTTTGCATCTTAAAAAATAAATTTTTACATTAAACTCTCAATGTATCAAAAATATTATAATAAGATCATTTTATTAGTTTCTGTTATTTTTTTTCATCAAAAAACAACTCATTGACACTGACGAAAAAAACTAACGAAAACTTAGGAAAAAAAGATCACATTGTAATACTTTTGATAACGTAAAAAATTTATTAGTTAAAAGTATAAAGTAAAGTTTTGAAATCTTTTAAGGTACAAAATGTAATTAACCACTCAATAAATTAGGTACAATTGGATTTCTCAACATTTAAATGAGAGCGGATTTGTTTTCAGTTTCTCTCGCTTCTAGCTGACACTGTCTCTCATATCTGACCTCTCCGAGCCTCCATGGCTTCTTCTTCCGTAAAACAAACGCTAGGTGACCTGAACAAGGATTCGTTCGTGACCCTTTTGTCAAAACTGATCGGAGAAGCAAAATATGTGCAGAACAACCCTCCAGTTCTCATACCTGAAGAGGATAGGATTGTGAGGCACGTGCTCGAAGCCCTTCTCCCTTACAGCACCACCACCGGCGGTGGCCCCCTTATTATCAACCATGTTACGTACAAACCCAATAGAGGCAATCTTATTGTGGAGTACCCTGGAACCCAACCTGGGAAGATCTTGTCCTTCGTTGGAATGCACATGGATGTTGTCACTGCTAACTCTTGTGACTGGGTCTCTCTCTCTCTCTCTGAGTTTGTGTTTTTTGAGCATATATTCTCTGTTCTTGTTTTTGATTTATACTAATTTTGAGTTAGATCTGATTTGCCTTAACTGGTATGCTCACTTTATGGAATTGAGATATAGTATTTGTATTGGTGTTACTTTCCTGGGTTTTGTTTGTCTTTGCTTGTGCACGTGAGATTATGCCAATTGAAGGAAAACTTATCATTAGGAATTTGTGTGTATGTCCTGTAATAAGGTTACTTTGCTTGGATTTTGGGTGAATTTTCGTTTGCACATTTACATTAGGGGAATACCCATTTAAAGTTATTCACAATACAATTGGACTTCTGCTGTTTTGTAACCAAACAATGTTCATTGTTTTGGGCTATTTATTCTAGGTTTGATTAGAATTCAATTCTGCACTTGACATTCTGTGGGTTTGATGTTCTCTTATTTTGAATCCAATATTTCTTGGGAAATTCACTAATAAGTCCAACTTTTCTTGTAAAAATAACTATTAAGTCCAATCATATTTACCCTAGAACAATTAAGTGATACTTTTAATAATTTATTCCCAAGAAGTCTAAATAGTTTATTTCGTTCCAATTTTATCCTCCATGAACTCACAAATTACATTTTTGTTTAGAATTTGATATTTAGTTTTACTTTTTGAAATATGGTTTTTGTATCTTAAATTAGAATCCAAGTAAGTTATACCTTTAATTAGCAAAGTATCCACCCTATTGATATGGAAGAGCTAATATGCAAGTGAATCTTATTCTTATATAGTATAAAAGTCATAATACACATAAAATTCTATATTTTATCTCTTAAATACAATGTTATAACTTCAAGTGCTTTAATTCTTCTTTTTTTATTGTCTTATATCAATAATTATTTTCTAATTAATTCAAAATGTGAAAGGAGAAGTAAAAAATATAATTAGATGAACTTTTCTCAATGATTGCATTTATAGATTAGTTTTCACATTGTTAATTTCTATAATTATGTCTTTATGTTGAGATTTAATAGTTAGGTGAGTTGAAATTCATATGCTTAAAAATGTTAAATATAAGAAAAGATAGAGTTGTATGACTTATCATTTCTAAAAAATATTTATTGCTAATTACGTGTTTTGGGTGTTATGAACTAATTAAAAATAATTTAATTTGCTTTGGGACACTCTAATAACAACTATTATTTGTAAAACTGTAATTGTTGTGCTGATGGGTAAGACAAAATTGGAATAAAATATACTATTGATGGAGTTTATGACTTCTCGAAAATAAATTATCAAAAATAGGACTTAATTTTCCTAAGATAAATATGATAGGACTTAATAGTCCATTTGAAAGAAAAATAGGACTTGTTGGTGATTTTCCCATATTTCTTTGTATGGCCAGGCCAGCAACATGCAAACACAATGTCAAGTCTGAGAAGGTAGAAATGGAATGTCGTGCCAATAGAGCTGAAACAATTTCAAGCTGGATTTTTTCATCTTAGGTCTTGTTATTTGTTCTTAGTTGTTTAGGGGTCGATATAAATTCATTTATCTTATTTGCCTAATTGGATTTTTGTCAATTTCTATATGTGCGCGTGTGTTATTATAAATACTTTGATTGTGGTGAATAGTGCCCAAAACACATGTTGGTGGACAATCGGCACATAGTAAATAAAAGAATAGTTGTGTTCACTTGAATGCCTTACCATTTGTTAATTTCTAACTAATGCATGTCAAGTTATTGATAATTTTGATCTGGATGTCTGTTGATATCTTATCTTCTTTTTGAGGTTGCTCTTAAGTTTCATGCAAACATATTGAAAGGATTGTCTACAATAATAGCTTGGACTTCTTGACATCATAAATTTGGTTATGCATGTGAATTTGTACAGAAGGATTGATCTTTTGTTTGTGATGCCATGATGCTATTTGTGCATCATGCCATAATGTTACATGCAGGATTTTGATCCCTTCTCATTGAGCATTGATGGGGATAAACTTCGGGGCCGTGGAACAACTGATTGTTTAGGGCATGTTGCTCTTGTAACTGAACTCATGAAGCGATTAGGGGAGACAAAGCTGGAATTAAAGTCCACTGTGGTTGCTGTCTTTATAGCCAGTGAGGAGAACACATCAATTCCTGGGGTTGGTGTGGATGCACTGGTGAAGGATGGATTGCTTACTAAGTTAAAGCAAGGACCTTTGTAAGTGAATTATGTCTTTTTTTTTTTTTTATCAAAATGAACTTAGAGATGGTGTACCTCTCAAAATTTTCTTCTTGGGCAAGTTTTAGAGAATTTGTTACTTGGTCAATGGTCTTTTCTTTTCCCCACACAGGTTTTGGATTGACACAGCAGATAAACAACCTTGCATCGGTACTGGTGGTATGATACCTTGGAAACTTCATTTCACTGGAAAGCTTTTTCACAGTGGTCTGGCACACAAGGTACTTCATTTTAAATTCTGTTGTCTGGTATCACTTAAACCAATTGGTGCAAACTAGTTGCGTAGAGGAAGTGATAAATGATGTCATCTCAATACAGTCTAAATGGTAAGTGTGATACTGTGTTTGCTATTTGATATGCTGAGATATAGGAAAATGTCCTTGACAAAGCATATGTGTATCTTCTGCTGTGCTATAAGAAATGTGATAAAAAAGAAAATGCTAAAGAAGTTTGGTGAGGTGAGTAAGAAACAAGTGGTATGAATCTAGATGAACACATAGTAAAAAATATGGATTTACTTTAAAGGTAAGAAAAATAGGATCAGATAACTGATGCAAAGGGTTATTATTGGACATTAGTGTTGTCATTGTGAAACATGATAGTGGATTTTGATTTCTTTCTGATGAATAATCTGTAATAGCATTCACAATCTGCTATTTAGTAAGGTTTGTGTTGAATTTCTGAAGGCTATCAATCCTTTGGAGCTGGCAATGGAAGTGCTTAAAGATATCCAGGTGCGGTTCTACAAGGACTTCCCTCCCCATCCTAAAGAACAAGTTTATGGGTTTGCAACACCGTCAACCATGAAACCAACTCAGTGGAGTTGTAAGTTTTGAGCTAATAAATGAGAAATTCGAGGAACTAAATATGATTTTGCTTGTTTGCCCTGGTGGCTTTCATGTCCCATATTTATTATTTCTGCACAGATCCAGGAGGTGGGATCAATCAAATTCCAGCTGAGTGCACAATATCAGGAGATGTCAGGTCTGTATTGTCTTTGCGAATATTCATGAATAATTGATCTATGAAATAAATCCTAATTATGGCTCCTTGCTGTTGCAGGTTGACTCCATTTTACAGGTGGGCTTCTGTTCCCCGTGATCTCATTACTTGTTTAGTAGTTGACTTCATATTGTCATCTGGGTTCCTCCAATATTGCTTCCTTTTTGTATTACTTCATGTTCCTTACTTTGGGGTAACTTTTTAAAACTTGTTTCAAAAAAGAAAATTTAAGTCGGAATTTTTGGGATTCTCTCTGTTTAGTGTATTGGACGTGATAAAGAAGCTACAAGAGTATGTTGACGACTTAAATGCCAACATAGAAAAGCTAGATACCCGGGGACCAGTTTCAAAATATGTGCTACCAGATGAGAACCTAAGGGGAAGGTATTTGTTTTCTTCTTTTTCTTCAAAAAGGATGTCAGTAAGACACACTTTAAAAATGTGATACATTCGTTTTTGTGTGCATTGTGTTCTTTTTCTCTGATATCGTTTTTGTGTGCATTGTGTTCTTTTTCTCTTTTGGTTATTCTATTTGTTTCTCTGCCACTTCAGAATTACTATAAGTTTTGATGAGGCGATATCTGGAGTTGCCTGTGATCTTGATTCTCGTGGCTTTCATGTATTGTGTAATGCCACTGAAGAGGTGGTAGGGCATGTAAAACCCTACTCTATCACTGGTAGTTTGCCACTCATACGAGAATTGCAGGTGAATTATATTCCAGCTTACTTGTTTGAACTGTTTTTGGAAATTTAAATTGTTCTAATCCTCCCCCACTTTCTTCTTGTTTCATAGGAGGAGGGTTTTGATGTTCAAACTGCAGGCTATGGTATGACTATCTTGCCATTGTACTCTTATATATTGGATTTGATGTTCAAAGATTAGAAATAATCCATTGCCTTCCAAATATATGCAGGCTTAATGGCGACCTACCATGCCAAAAACGAATACTGCCTTCTATCCGACATGTGCCAGGGTTACCAGGTCTTTGCCAGTGTCATATCCCAATTAGAAGATTGAGGTGACAACATGCCAATAAGTAGGTTACTTGACATATAGAGCGTGTTTAGTCATTCCCCTGGCCTTGAGAAATAAAGAGCTTACTTGAGTTTCATCAATGAACTGCCAAAGTTGCTTAATGTTAGAAATTTACCATTCTAATATAAGTACTGAATGTTTGGTTTTTCACCCTCATCTTTTGCAAATGTATGCTGTAGCCCTTGTTTTCGATCCTCAGATCATTCCATTGTTCCTTAGAAGTACATTCGTATGCAAATTGATAATTTGAGCATTTCCCCAAAGGGTTGAAAGGATGAGCAACTGCACTTGATCAACATAGAAGAGTTCCATTAACCGTTGCAGGAAGAATGCTGTTTTGTTAGTCTAAAGACCTATCTACCCTGCCTGAGCTCTTTTCCAGAATCAAATATGAGCCTCGTAATCACTTTTTGTGGGTGGGCGGGTTGGGGGTGGGGGGGGGGGGGGGGGGTGGTGTTTGCACAAATCATACATGTTAATCAGTGGATTCTTCAATTTTGAGCTTAAACCTATATGGTATTGAGGTGAGGAGGAATTAGAGAAAGTTTCTCAATCATTGTGAAAAATTAAACCGCTGGCCATTGCAAAAGAAACCTACACGTTGTTAGGTGTGTTTTGATGAATTGAAATGTAACCATTGTAGATTTTAGGACTCCATTCCTAGGGTTAAAGACAATAGATGAAAAATCAAGAAAGGGGAAAATTGTCCATTCAAATTGAGATGGAGAAGAACCTTGTACTAAGCTGATTCAACCCCTGCACCATTTTCCGCGGAAGAAGGACAACATCTTCTAATGAAAAGAGAGTAGTTAAAGCGTGAACTGCAGATACTCTTGAGAATGGGCTGTGACTGTAGGGTCGGAATGTGAAAACGGTTGAGAAACTCCTCCGTAACCCTTCATATTCCGTACAACTTTGTGGAAATTCATCCATCTTACAACCCAAACTCACACCCCACTTAGAGAGTTCCTTATCCAGTAAATTCTCAGCTGTCGCTTTGATGCAGATCTACACCATTTAGGTGCTTGGTTTTAACTAGTCAGAAACTAGTGGTTCATGTAAATGGATGAAACACAATGTGAGAGAACTATTGCTCACAACCTAATGGATTGAACTAACCTTATTTAAAACTGATTGTAACCAAACTAAACAAAGCCTTATGTCCCAATCATTTAGGATCTGCTAAATGAGTTTGTCTTCGCCAAAATTGATTGTCTGAGTCAATATTTCTCAGGTACAAGGCTAGCACTTACAGTAGTAGACATCTTGTTCTTCTCATTCAACATATACCATGTTCGCAAACATCGTACATGCTTCTCAAGTATACATCTATGGTATGGTATCCTTTATAATAACCAAGCTCTGCTATGTATTGTTTTTATACACCATGTATGCTTCTCACAGCTATACATCCATGGCATTGTAGTATTCTCTATAGTAATCAAGCTCTGCTATTTAATATACAAATTCCTTCCGAATCCAAATATTAACTTACTTGCTACCTAGCTTCGATATTTGGATGAGTTTTTTTCCCTCTAGTTTCAGCTGCTGTATTCTCTGTCGTAGTCTTCTCCGGTGATCATGAATCTTCCACAGGCCATGTCCCAAAACAACAGCAGAGTATATCCCATGTGTGATAATCGGCGCAAGAATGTTATTTGCCTGCCATTTAAATCAGCATGCAATTATTATCGACCCTCGCCCCGCAAAATTTATTATTGATAATAATGAAAATTGTCTGAGTAATTATCTCAGAAACTGAGTTACCTGCATCCACTCAAATCCAAGGTAAAGGGCTAAAAGTGCTTCCAGGAGTGGAGAGTATATCTTTTTCATTTGCCTTCTCTCATACCAGGCTGCACAAAGCTCACCATCATTAGCTTACATGCATTTATCAAATGGAGACTCACTCAGGCCTCATGAACAGCAGGTTATGTACAGAGGAATGATATATAATCATATAAAACTGCAGTCCCCTCTGATTTGATTGTAGTAACACATTTTCCCCGACCATCAGTTTGACGTTAAAGGAACGTGCAAAATTTGCTGATATAAATAATTCATTTTTTTAAAATTCTAATATTACCCTTATCATGGTTAGATTTAACTTATCCTTGACTCAAACTAACCAATATCCACAGTATTGGTCGCTAAACCTTGTTTCCAAACAGTGGAGATTGGGTTGAGTGGGAGTGGTTTGTGCCTTTTTGTGTGCGATTAAATATTAGGTTATTATGTAATTAAGTTTGTTTCCAAACTAAATTTGAGTTTTAGCACAAAATTAAATAAATTATAGGAATAGATTTGAATTTTGAGATAATTAATCTAATTAATTGAATTGATTTAGATTTGGTTCGAGTTTGCAATAAATTTGATTTAATTAACAAAGTTAATCAAATTTAGTACTAATTCTGAATAAAATTAATAAGATTTGATTTTGAAAATAAATATTATTCAATAAATAAATTGATTGGATTTGGTTTGAGTTTTGTAATAAAATTTATGGAATAAATAAGATTTTGTTTTCATTTGGGATAAATTCTATTATATTAATTAAGTAAATTTTTTTCCTTCAATTCTATTATATCGATGTGGTAATTTACAATTGGGTGTTGTAAAATTAACTAAAGGTCAATAAATAGGGAATCATTTGTGTCAAGGGCATTATAGTCATTTTTGTGTTACTGTTAGACTGATAGAACAGTTGTCACTTACAAGAGAAATCAGTGTTATTTTTCAAACAAGGGGTCTAATTGTTAATTGACCAAACCTTAGGGAGACAGAAGTAATTTACTCTATACATTTTGAAAAATTGGAAACCCAAGCAGGTAATTGATTTATATCCTTATACTCCGTTTGATAGAAAATATGGAAAGTAAGAGGGATACACTTTCTGTTCTTGGATGGAAAATAAGAAAGATACAATTTTTTTCATTTGTGTTTGGTTGGATGAATGAAAAATAAAAATGACTATTTTTTTTTAATTTTTTTTCGTCTAATATTAAGGGTAACAATCGAGTAGTGTCGTGTCAAATTCGTGTTGAGTCATAAAATTATAAGCCTTTTATATTTTTTGTTCACGTCTCAGGTCATTTTCAAGTTTGTGTCGAGCTATAATTAAGTTTGTGTCATAAAATTTGTGTCGAGTTCGAGTCGTATCATTGTGTTGAGTTAAAAATTTTCACCACTAGTTAAGATGAAAAAAATATTTTTTTTAATTTAATATTTTTTTTTATATAAAATTAATATATACATAATATATAGACAAATAAGATACATTTCAACACAAATAATTAACTTTTTATTCACTTTTCTTCCAATTTTGGAAGGATTGATTTTAATGAGTTGGAAGGAAAGTTAATTCATCATTACCAAACATGATGTTTTATTTATCCCTCTAATTTTTCATCTTTTCAATCATACCAAACAGAGTATTATAGTCACAATAATGACTCTGGTTATACATAAATAAATTCTGCAAGTCACACAAATTATTGCCATAAAAACTAGATCGAGTCCATTTGTCTAAAATATTGACATACATTTTTTTTTTCTAAATAAAAATTAAAGGTAGATCTATTGGAATTCCAATCCTAACTCCACTTCTTACATACTTTTTAGCCCCCCCCCCCTCGGCTAGAAGCACTTTTCCTACTTGATTTTTAAAATTATGTACATTACTATCTTATAGTTTTTGTACCAAAGTAAAATTTTTTACTTTTATTGTCTAAGTTAACAAAGAGTGTGTTTTATACGCCCAAAACATCATGTGGGCTTTGTTTCTATTAGTGTTTTAAAACTCGGCTTGGCCCAGCAAGTTGACCCGGTGTCTAAACTGGGCCAATTCACGTAATAGATCGTTTATGCAAAAGAATCGGAGTGAATCCGATGAACTGGCAAAAATCCAGGGAAAACCGTCAAAGCGGACGGGTTCCATCAAACCGGGCAGGTCATTTAATTTTCTATAAAAGATTGATTTTTGGCCATTTTGGGATTTTGCCCTAAATTGTGTTGTTCAGCCAACCTCCTTTGTGGACGTCATTCGTTCCCCTCTCTCTCTCTCAATCTTTTCTTGCTTTGATTTTCTCTAGTTTTATACAGTAGTGTGCAGTGGGAGCTCGAAAGGGAGTGAGATTCGATCGAAGGCTCGAAAGGGAAGGAACAGATCAAAGATTCAAAAGGAACAGATCAAAGACTCGAAGGCTAACGGTCTCAAATTGAAGGTCTGTCCGATGACACTCTCTCTGCGTGCTGTGGAAGTGAAACTAGTGAAGACTCGAAGGCTGGACATGGACTCGATCGGACTTCCATCGACTTCAATACTCATTCTCTACACATTTTCTTCCCTCAAGCGAGACTTCAGGCACCAGAATGTACGTTATCTCCCCTCTTCTCTCTGCACATTACAATTGGTATATTATACTCACTAATGTTGTATTGTATGGTTACGGGTTGATTGATTATGGCTTTGTTGATTCAGTAAAACTAGATTGTTTGTATTTTAAGTTTGATTTGGTGAAAATTTTAGTTAAATTTGATTTGATATAGATTGAAGATTTGAATTGATTCAGTAAAATTAGATTGTTGATTCATTAAGGTTAACCTATGTTAATTTGCTTGAACTTGTTCATGGAGGAGCCCTTAGAACTTGCAGAATACATTTTTTGTCTCCACTATTCTTGATTTTTTAACTTATTTATTATTATTATTTTTTATTTTTTATTATATTACCGGTTTGACCAGTGATCCAACGGTTGAATCAGTAACCCGTTGACCTGGCCCCTCTGTCGGGTTGATGTCCGGGCTGGATTTTAAAACTATGGTTTCTATTGTTTCCGTCCAAAAGAATATTGTTTAAGCGCCTAAAATAGCCTTTATAATATATGATCCCAAATAATCAATCCCAAATCAAAAAAAAACATAGAAGAGAAATCATGACTAAGTAATTTTCGGCCCCTAATCAAAAGCCTCACTTGAGGGAAGAAAAGACTCGGCATGTTGAAGAATGGAAGATATCTACCTCAGCCGCCTTAGTAGTGATTTTTGTCCAGTACATGAGTGAAAGTAAATCATACGAAAAATCTAATTTTATAACCTGAGTATTATATTAATTTTATAATATGTTAACGGCTTCAATTATTTCACTTTGGTACGAAAATACAACAGGATAATATGTATAATTTTAAATGTCAAGTAGGTAAGGTGCTTACATGATAATATGTATAATTTTAAACGTCAAGTAGGTAAGGTGCTTCTAGACTGTTTAATTACCATGCATGATACTTAGGAAAGTAGGAGTGCCAAGGGCTGGAAAGAGGAAACCAAGAGAGGTGCCATTGTATAAATCACAAGAAAACACATGAATCGGTCTAATGACTTAAGAGCCATGTAAAACAAGGAAGATAGATTCATATTTGTGGTTTCAAGTAAGGAGGAAGGGATTGAACCTGCAAAGAGCTTTTTGAGATCTTCACGACCAGAGCGAGAATGCAACACTGGTGCAACGACATAAGTAGGATCTGAAAAGAAAATAGGAAACTAAACATAATTCCTGAAACTTTTTGCAAATGTGAATTTATCAGAGAATAATCAACCTTTCGGAGAGGCGGCCACATAATAAAGGGAACCAGTAAGAGCAGCAGTGATCACAGCTGCAAAAGCTTGAGCAAATGGGACAAATGGAGGTAGCATACCAGTCTACAACACCAAGAAACAAAGTACATTAGCAAAATGGCAATCATTTGGACTATGTACAACTTGAAAGAACAGATCAATGAATAGTGCTTTCACCAACGATGCCATTCCACGAGCATCTGTCACCAAATCGGCGCTCCTTAGAAATATGTCAGCCAATGCTCCCTATAAAGTCAAAAAAGAGAGACAAAAAAATGTATTGGTGATGTATACATAAGGCAACTTGAGTAGTAAAGTCTCGTGCTATGAATGCCGGCAAAGAGAGTCATTATTTGTGTCACATTTTCGAATTTGAGAGAAGACTTTCCTATTATCTCTCAAGTTATAAGTATTGAAGCGATCGAGTGACAGCAAGAAACAAAATTATTGCGCACATCCTTCATTCGCCCTTGATTAATAAAATAATGAAAGGTAAGGCAACAGCAGCATAAGCCCTTCCAATCTTTACAAATTTTCAACTTGCACTAAATAGATGCCAAATAGTTGACATACCGATGTCGGTGAGGTTCCTGAGTCCTATATAATACAAAAGAGACTTCCTCAAGTTACCACTAGTGATTAATTCAGGTTTAAGAGCTGCAAGCACAAGGGATACCAAAGTGGATGTATGTCGGAGGTCATATGAATATGTGGTAACAAGATATTTGAACTATGTAATCAAAATGGCAAAACAGAATTTGAATGGCCAATCTTAATATGTTGAAACATAGCTTTAGTTAAGTTGAGTGCGGTCAGAAGGATTTATCAAGACAGGATTATCACTGAAGAAGTTAACTAGCCATCAAATGTCCTGCAGCCTAATTAGTTTGAAGGATTTTCCTATGTTTTGAACAGAATTCAGTAATGTGTTAGACATCAAAAGTAAGAGGTACTCATAACACCATAGAAACTGACCTGAACAGCAACGCGGTAGAAAAGCTCCTCTCCAACTGAGCTCGCAGCAACAATTAGTATAAACTGCAACATAGTTGGACAAAAAAAAAAAAAACCACACCTGCGTATTACGACATAATTGAAGGTGCGCAACATGCGGGAAGAAACAAAGGGGAAATATCCAGATTATTTACCTGCCACGGTGACATTCCATAAAAGAAACTCCACAGTTCCTCATCCTCTACATCCCTGATGGCACGAGCATGAGGCGAAATCTTCACAACTTCATCCTGTGACCATGCAATTTGCTTAGGAAAAACAAATATATTGCGGTGTAACAAAACCAATAAAGCAAAGACCAAATGGAAAGTTCAAGAAGAATAGCAATTGACCATCCAGTGTCAGATTGAACAAGCAATTTCTATGTTTCAAAAAGTAGAAGAATATATAACAAGCAGGGTACAGATAAAAAGAGAAGATATATAAAACGGAAAACTAATTAAAATTCAACATACATCCAGTATAAAGAGAAGGGCCATAATTGGAGGAGCTGCATATCCCAGTCCTACAACAATTGCATCTAATGATGGATAGAAGCCTCCGGTGCAATCGACTCCTGTCATGGAGCATATGAACCTTCCAGCTAAAGCCATCGCGCCATATATTCCTGATTTTCCAAGGGTAGGAGTACAAAAATCAGAACTGTAAAAATTCATTCTCTTCTTCTTTTCCCATTAAAGCATTTAATTTAATTCACACTCCAGGAAAAACAACACAAAACATCTTTTAACTGAATAAATTACTAGTTTGCTGAAAAGAAAACATAAATTTGAAATGCAACAAATAATTTAGACTCAAGGTCAGTGGAGTTGTAATACTTGCCCAGATAAGGAAAATATTTTATGAATTGAGTTTTTTCAGGAAAAAATCCTTTGATTTAGGGGGGGGGGGGGGAAGCAATCCAAAAGATTCTTTCCTTTTTCTTCAGAGTCCTACACAAAGCACAAGTCAACTTAATTCATTTGGTAGTCAAAAATGAGAGGTGAAAACACATTCATTTGAGTAGTTGCATTGATGAGAGTATAAATAGCGGTGATGATATGGTTCAAAGTATCGGTCGATATTGATACGAGTCGACCCGAGTCATATTTGTTTTGGCACTTTTAAAGACGATACTATTACAAAATATGTATAAATTCTAAGGCTCCCACAACTCAGCCGAGTTGTTCGAGCTATATTCGAGTCAATCTCGAATCGCCGAAATATCGTCACTGAATTAGCCACTACATCACAATATAACTTGAATTTGTCGTCATATTCAATATTTTTTTTTAGGTTATATCGTCCGATACTGCGCCGAAAGGCTGCAACCGATATGTCTCAAAGCACGCTGCATTAATGGTCGATACCGCGATCTTGAATCCCGAGAAATGATGATGCCTTTGATCATGAGGAATATGGAAATTACTTTATTGTTAAAGCAAATTGAATGTCTTTCCTTTTCTACTAGCAACATGGTTTAAGGGTGCGATATGAGTTTTGTTTCGAAGAATTTTGAGACATATCAGTGGCAGCATTGCGGCACAATATTAAACAGTACAACCTAAAAGAAAATGTGAACATACACTATTCCAGTTATATCAGCGTCATAAAATTGTATCGGCTAATTCGATAACAATATCTCAAGAACTGGCGATTGACTCAGAGATTCAAAGCTACAGAACATAAATCAATTTCCTTTTTTAGGTTCATTTTTTGTACTAAAGTTCAACTCCAACCCAGAACTGCTCACTTTTTATTTCTCTCCCCCAACAGAACAGTGAAAAAGTAACTTTTTTTTTTCGTTTCCCTCGATTTCATGGCATCCAAACAGAACTTTAAAATTTTCTGAGAAAAATTCGAAACATTTAAGTGAAGGGATATACCGATTCCATAGCTGAGTCTAACAATGGCTCCGATTTTGTCCCAAATTGGGAATTCAGCTTCACCGAAGCTTTGATTAAATGTGGTCACCTTCATCGCCGAACTCGTATACCCTCCCCCACTTTCTCTCTCTCCGTCAATACTTTCACTACTCCGCTCCGCCGAAGCTCTAACACTCATCACCGACGACCTTACTTTTTCGGCGACAGATTTTTTCACTCTCTTCTTTAAACTCACCGGAAAGTCACAGAGACAAACTTTATAAGAAGAAGAATACGACGTCGTCGGACGGTACGGAGCCCGAGAAATTAACGGGAACTCCATACTGTAACGGTTAAAATCTCACCGTTCAGACCGTAACCGAGGAACTTGGAATCAATGGCGGCACCGGAATAAAACGACGTTGTTTTGGTGCTTCTTCTTCTTCGTCGAAGTTGTCGACGTTGGACTTGGGTTGGGCATGGTTCGTGTGGTGTGCTGCTTTAGATTAGGAAATGAATAAAACATATATGGTCCGTCCGTTTTTTTTTTTTGTAGTATGGAGGGCCAGAAAAGTCAACGGTGGATTATGATTGGATCAGAATACTTTTTCATTGAGGGTTTGGATTTTTTTCGTAAGGGAATATCCGGAGGACAAATGGTGGCTTGCCACGTGGAGATAATGCTATAAACTTGACGATAAGTATTCCCTCTCTCCCCTTATTTGTGTTTTGAATTTCATTTGATTTTGTTTTTTTGGGGAAATTTCTTGGAATAGTGTTTAGTTTTTTATAAGAGGAATATTAGTTGAATCTTATTTAATTATTTAATTTATTAATCTAATAAATTATGGTAATTAAATTGACAATGAATTCTGTAGTAATTAAAATTCAATATTAATTCAATAATCGATGCATTAAATTTAAAAAAAAAATTCAAAAAAAAAATTTCTTTTGATAAATATTAGAAATTAGAATTGACAACTTCTAATAGGATTTGTCTATCCAACATGAAAAATAATTTATTTTTTTTCATGACATCGGCACAATCCATCAATATTCCTCGTTAAAATGTGAGTAAAGTAGCATGCATTCTTAATAATTACACAATGAATTGTAGAAGTATCATCGGGACCACATACAACAAAAATTGCATAAAACCATATATATATATATATAAGGGTTAACTATATTAGAAATTCCTAATATTCTATTTGGTACGATGAAAAAATAAAAATATGAAAAGTTGGAAAGATGAAAAGATGAAAAGTTTGAGGGATAAATAAAACATAATGATTGGTAAAGAAGAGAAATAGGAATGATAGAAAAGTAGATGAATTAACTTTCCTTCCAACTCACTAAAATCAATTCCTCCAAAATCGAAAGAAAAGTGGAGGAAAAGTTAATTATTTATGTTGAGATGTATCTTATTTGTCTATATATCTTTTGATATACACATATATTATGTATACATTAATTTCATATAAAAATATAATAATAAAATATGTATTTATATATATTTTTTAAAAAAATTTAAAATAAAATTTAAAATAAAAAAAATAAAAATAAAAATTTTAAATTAAAAAAAAATATTTTTTCATCTTAATTAGGGGTGAAAATTTTCGACTCAATACGACGACACGACTCAAACTCGACATGAATTTTATGGCACGAACTTAAAAATGACTTGAAATACAAATAAAAAATATAAAAGAGTTATATTCAGTTCAACCAGTTAAACTCAAAATTGATATCATCAACCCTTTTATTTAAAAATAAACATTTTCTCTATTTTCTTGTTTGTATAATAATGTGAAACAAACATATTTAACTAATATTATAGACATAAAATATTAATTATTTATAACTATTTATTAAGTACTGACATAACTATTATATAAAAAAAAATTTAGTTATTATTATATTTATTTAAGTTAATTTTTAGTTTGTAGAAAATATATTAACATGGATTCAATTAAGTGAAAGTAAAATATTAGTATTAAATTTTTTATTCAAAATTTATGTGGGTCAACATGAACACGAATACGAACACGAGCACAATACGAAAATAAACATGTCAACTCGTAATTCGACACTACACAATTAGTTAAATGAGTTGAGTTAAATTTAACTAACGTTTGACACAAATCCGTAATGATTCAACACGAATTTGACACGACACAACTCGATTGTTACCCCTAATCTTAGTTAGCTAAAAAAAAAATTAGTCATTTTTATTTTTCATTCATCCAATCAAACACAAAGGAATAAAAGTGTATCATTCTTACTTTCTTTCTTTAAAAAATAGAAAATGTATCCCTCCTAGTTTAAATCCTTCTTACTTTTCATCTTTTCTATCAAATAGAGCATAAAGTATAAAATTTATCTCATTTTGGTTTTCAATATTTTAATTGTATCATTTTATCTCATTTTTGTCTTCAATATTTTAATTGTATCATTTAGTCATTGTTAGATGACACTTGATGATACTAATGCTCCGTTTGATAAAAATGATGAAAAATATAAGGGATAAAAAGTACGAGTGATATATTTTTTATTTTTCAAATAATGAAAGTATGATTGAAAGTGAGTATGAATAATACACTTTCATTCCTTTGTGTTTTGTAGAATGAATGGAAAATAAAAATGATTATATATATATATATATATATTTTGTGATTGGTAAGATGGAAAAAATATTTTCTTTTTATTTTCCTTAATAAAATTTATTTTTAAAAAGAGTACAAATACATATTTTATCATTATATTTATATATGACATTAATGTATACGTAATATATGTGAGACCCGATCATGCATTGCATACATATTAGCATAATTATGTGAATTAATTGCAATCATGTGAAAATATTTATTAGATAGAATTTTGTGTACAAAAATAATATTGAATTGATTTTGAAATCACTTAAGAATTTGGAATGAGACAAATAAAATTATTAAAGTTTCATGAAAATATATTTACACATGTGTCAAGATTAAGGTGGTGGGTCATTTTAGAAAAGTTAAGTGCATGTGTGTGTGCCAAGTGTATGTGTGTGTCTTAAGGTGTAGTAAAGTGTGCGTGTATAATTCATGGAACAATGTGTGTATAGTTTAATATGTAGTAAAGTGAGTGTGTTTAAAAGACAAATGTGTGTGTGTGTGTTCTGGTTTTATTGAAACCGTGAGTGAGGGGGGATGGTAAAGGAGAGAAAGAAGAAATAAAAAAAAGAAAAAGAAAGAAAGAAGAGTTTAAAAAGGACTCCATGCCAAACCAAAAGTAAGAAGAAAACAAGAAGACGGTAAATGGGTGTTTGTGTGTTCATTTTAGTGTGTGTGTGTGTGTGATTAATTTTAAGTATTTATGTATATTAGTGGGTTGTTTTATTTTAATTTCAAGAACTATTTTAGTTAATTTTATGGACTGTTTTAGTTTATTTCAAAATATTATTTTTGTGAGCTTAAATTAAGTGAATTAACATAAATTAGCGGGCTGTTGTAATTTAATTTCACAATAGGTTTTTGTGAGTTTCATTAAGTGTATGAAACGTAATTAACGGGCTGTTAGGTAAGGGTCATTTGAGATGTTTGGTATATTTTTCCAGGGCTAGGATGAAATTGAAATTATGAGAGTGAAGGGGAAAGTTTAAGGTGCAATTAGGGGCAGATTTGTGTGAGTTATGGAGTGTGTGAGTTTAGGTAAAATTATTTTAAAAGAAAGTACGATAAAAAGTGGATATGGGTGCCAGTAATGTCAAAACTCTGATTTTTAAATATTATTATCACTTGTATGAATTTTAATCCAAATGATCTGAATGCAACATTTTTAATTGATGCTTGATGTGATAATGTAAATTTTGAATGCAAATGAATATAATATCCGGTACGGAATGTACGAAATGCCGGAAGTGCAGTTTTTGGAATTTGGGGTTGAAATGTGTGAAAAATGGTCCCGGTCAATATGTTTGACCTACTAAATCTTAATTGTGATTTTAAAGATTTGGGGAAGAAATATGATCCCTAAATCTAATGTGTCAGTATGTGAGTGAACAGTGCGATAACCGGGGTTACCGGGGCACTTTGGGTTGAATCATCTTGCATGTAGTAGTGCATGATTAAGTATTCAATGTGATAAACATGTTAATAGTGATGTGTTAGATAGAACAGGTAGGACAGTTGGTATAGAGACAGATACTAAAACATCAAAAGGATCCACCGATAGAACCGAAGGGTCATAGATCAGCATATTTGGGATGAGTATATATCTTTATATGTTTTAAAAATGCTATTATAAGATGATGTTAGATGATAGAATTTAATAGCATTTCTTCAGGATTATGTGATATATGCTTATGTGATTAGATGATACTTTGTATTGTGCATTGTATATTGTGTATTATGGAATATGACACACTGTTTGAGACAGGAGCGTCAATGTCTGATCACTGGGTGTGCAGTGGTCTGCTAGCACTGTGGTGTTTTTGAGAGGTTCGGGAGACGCGGATCCATGTGGGATTGACTACCCGATGAGGGGTAGTATGGGTGGGATGTGACTTGTGAATTCTTTGGAATATGATTGATGTTGTTGTTTGATACATATACCTATAAAGTATCTACCTCCTTCAGTGTATTACTATCATTTTCATTTCATATACAGAATGTATACTCACTGAGAGCGTAATTTAGCTCACACTCCTATAGCTTCTACTTTTCAAGTACTTTAGAGAAGGATGCAGACCGATCCATTGTCCAGTTGATTGAGTCTTGTACAACGTTAGTGTGATATTAATCAGGTTGTATATTATATGGAGTGAGGGATTGTTATAATAGGTGATGATGTATATATTTGTAAATAGACTCAACAAGCATACTTTGTGACGTATGCTATGTGGGTGTGGGATTTTGTATTGAAAAATAGAAATGATATGTGTTATATATGGTACAGGTTATAAAATAGGAATTACCATCATGTTTAACGACTAAGGTGATAGGGGGTGTTGTTGTACCTGTGAGATTATTTGGTATTTTATTAATTTAGATTATATATACGTAAACAAATATATAAAAAATACAGTCACGTCTTATCCTTGGGAGAGCGGGATGGGGCGCGACAATTCAATTGGTATCAGAGCTAAAGTTGATAGTTCAGTAGTCGAGTTTAGTCTAGTGTGACAGTGAATTTAGGGATTGGTCTGTTTAGGTAGGGTGTTAGAGGTCTATATGAGCGTGTGGAATATATACTGCATGCTATCATGATCCATATGCGATACTCACATTTGTTATAGTGATACATGGAGGGAGAAGGGTCCTCCGCTCGTGCTGGAGAAAGGGAAAAAACCCCAGGTAG